TTGATATCTGTTCACATACAGTATTTTAACAGAACGTGTATGAATTCTCTCCACCGACTCTGGCATGGGGAAGGATAGTACTTAGATAGCACACTGAATAGTCTTGCTGAATCGTAGTTTTGACTGATGAATTACGTATTCTATCCCACGAGAAATATCTTCCTTAGCAGCAATTTATTAGGTGCCAGTGAATTTCCTGCCACGACAGATTCAATATGGAAAGCAGAACTCTATGTGACAAAGACTCTCCGTTCATATACATGGGCACAGGCAAAGCAACTGCCTTCCCTTGGTGCCTCTGTCAACTGGAGGCCAGACCAGGCAATGCCAGGAATGATGGGCAATTTGTCTCCACTGAGCATTTGAAGTCAAAAGCATAAAGCTACAGCTGGCATAATTTGGCCAGAATGTTAACCACTCAACTCAACATGTAAAGTACACAGGAACCTGCAGCACTTTATAGTCCAATCCGTTCCTCAGGGCTTATATGTGACAATCATCATAGAGCAGTCCAGGATGTCTCTGTGAAATGGAATGTCGTCCAGTGTTTTTAGCTTTGTGCAGGATACCAGGTGCTCTGTGAAGAGTTCATCAATAATAAAATGACACTTCGATTCATTAGACACAAATATACAATGTAGGTTCAGTATTCATACAGAAGGCTCTCCCTTCCCCCAGCAACTCTGGCACAAAGACCTAGTGATGTGTGTGTGTGTGTGGGGGGAGTCTTTCAACTGTGAACCACCTGTTGTCACACACATTTCTAAAATATAAGCCAATGGTGTCATTATTAAAATGTTTTTTTTTTTAATTTTTCTCTTTATTTTCAGCCATAGTTTTTTCTGCTTCATTCATTTTTACTAAAAAATTTCCTTCTGGAAGTTTTCTCTCCTTTAGGATTGTACCTGAGCCTACATTATGCCAGTACATCTTTCATGCCCAGCAGATTTATCTCTCCACCCATTCCCCTGCATAGAACAATTCAAGCCTGAATACTATAAGAAATGATGCTCAACTGCAGCAATCATGTAGTGAACAATCAGTTCCACATGAAAATCTGCAATTAAATGCTAGATGTTCTTACATCTTGAATTGAATCCTTGGATATAACCGAGAAAGTACTCATACATAATGTTTTCTGAACTGAAGTCAGCATAAAATTATGCAAGACTTGTTCCGTACCTCACAAAACATTGCCTATACAAAACAGTGACTTTGCATCATCATGGAACACGGGCACTGTGAATTTACACAAATGTTAGTTTTCCCTCCATAAGCTGGGAGAATTATTGTCCTCACTCTGAGAATAAGGGGAATTCTTTTCAACATTTTCTACCCTAGGCTTTTTCATCACTTCTGAAGTCATTGCTTAGAAACAGTCAGTAGAGATTATGACATGGTGCTGATGTAGCAAAGTATGGTATGCCACCTACCACCATCTGCAGGAAGGAAGATGTCCCTAGAATAAGGGACTTCAGTTACTCAAGAGCAGGAGAAGATAGAACCCCATCTAAAACATAAGCATTTGTTACTGTTTTGTAGTTTCTATTTACCATTTCTTGTTTTTTTACATTATTTAGATCAACTTCAGTCAGGTTTTAGTTCATTTTGGAATAAATACTTTCTCAATCATCCAACAGGACCAAGTGAAAGAAACAGGAGTGCAACGTTCTTGAACCTCTTAATGGCTTTCAATACTGCTGATTGGATAGAAGTAGTTATATAACTACTACTGATAGATGGCCTGGGTTGGTTGCTGGAGGTACTGTGTGGCAGTGGTTCTGCCTCTACTTGGATGGTTGATTCCAGAAGGTGGTAATAGTGGCTTGATGCTCTGCCCCTTGCCAGTTATGCTATGGGGTTCTATTTTCTCCCATATGCAGTTCCACATGAACCTGCTGGGAGAGTTTACCTTGAGATGTGGATTGCAGTGACACCTATATATTCTCTTGGGAGGCACCATGGAGAGTCAGACCTCTGGCTCTGTAGTCAGATACCAAGATACCCTGTCTTGAGAGTTGCCATATAAACTCATCAAACTCAGGTGAGATGAGAGGTTCTACCTTAGCTGTCTGGCTGTGGCAATAGATGACAGATGAAGGCTGTAGCAGAACCCAAAAGATGATGTCATTCCTGCATGTCAATCAGAGGATAGAGCAGGAGGGGCAGAGTCAGAATGACAGAGAGTGAGAAGAGACAGTTAAAGCGCAGTTCCCGTCTGTCTCAAGGCTTCCGTCATCGTTCCACTGCCTAAAAAGTTGCCTACAAACAGTCCGAATGACTACAGGCCGGTGGCACTAACTTCAATCTTAATGAAGTGCTTTGAGCAGTTAGTTCGGAAATATATTATCTCCTGCCTTCCTGATCCCTTTGATGGGCTTCAGTTTGCTTATAAAGAAAATAGATCAACCGAGGATGCGATCAATACTGTGCTTTATATGGCTTTATCCCACTTGGAAACACAAGGGAATTATGTAAGAATGCTGTTCGCGGACTTTAGCTCTGCTTTTAACACCATTATACCCCACAGATTAATAGACAAACTTAAAGATCTTGATTTTCCAGATTCTATCTGTCTGTGGATTTTGGATTTTTTAACAAATCGTCCACAAAGGGTTAAACTGAATGACTACATCTCTACTGACAAGATACTCAGCACTGGCACTCCACAAGGCTGTGTCCTTAGTCCACTACTGTTCTCCATTTATTCATCGGATTGCACCAATAACCATCCCAGTAATAGGATTATCAAATTTGCAGATGATACTACACTAGTAGGACTTATCTCTGGGGATGATGAGTGTGCGTATCGGGACGAGGTATTACAGCTATCCCGCTGGTGCAAAAAAAACAATCTTTTATTTAACATCCAAAAAACCAAGGAATTTATAGTGGCCTATAGGAAAAAAAGAGCAGACATTCAGCCACTGTATATAGATGGAGTTTGTGTGGAACAGGTGGTTGAATGTAAGTTTCTTGGGACTATCATAACAAATGACCTGACTTGGAGTGCAAACACCGCTGCGTTAATCAGGAAGGCACAACAACGGTTGTATTTTCTAAGGATTCTTAGAAAGCAACAATTGACTGAGAGTTTGTTGATCACCTTCTATCGGAGTTCGATTGAGAGCATATTATCCTACTGTCTCTGTGTATGGTTCATGAGCTGCACAGTGGCAGAGAAAAAGGCAATTCAAAGGGTGATTAAGATGGCCCAAAACATCATTGGCTGTTCACTCCTCTCTTTGGAAGAATTGTATAAGAAGAGATGTAAGAGGAAGATATCTAACATACTGAAAGACTCCTCTCATCCGGGATATCAGCTCTTTAAACTATTACCATCAGGAAGGAGATTCAGGGTATTGAAAGCAAGGACAAGCAGATTCAAGAACAGTTTTTACCCAAGTGCAGTATTGAGTTTAAATGCGGGGCCATAGGTTTTTGGTGGAATTTTAATTGCTGAGAGAAAACGGGGTATCTATATTTGGATGGTGAAAGTTGTGTATATTTTAACTTTTTTTTGTAGTGTTGTCCAGTTTTACCTTGGGGAAGAGCACCTCATTTCGTTGCACCCACTTGTGAGCGCAATGACAAATAAATTTCTTATGTCTTATGTCTTATAATACCTGGTGGCAGCAGAAAAGGGCGAGTTTACCTTTGTGGAGCCCAGGGAAATAAGGGACCACAAGGGGGATCGCCACAAAGGCCAATAAACAAATTAAATCCAAACACAATGGAGGTACTGTCTGTGGGTGGTTTTTCAGGCTGAGTTGTGCTTAATTAGTTCTGGAGCAAATTGTATTTGCTGAAAGAATAAGGTTGAAGTTTTGGAGTGATCTCGAGTTCAATGCTGTTATGTGCAATCAAGTCACACATCCCTCCCGATTTATGGCAACCCTATGGATGAGCAATCTCCAAAATACCCTGATCTCATAAGCCCTGTTAACTCTTGCAAACTCAACCCTGTGGTTTCCTTTAGGGAGATGATGCATCTCATTTTGGGTCTACCACTATTCCTATTGCCTTCAGTCAATGGTCACTGGGAATTATAGATGGTCTCCGTATTGGGGTGCACATCGTATCTATTCAGACTCATACACCAACTGCAGCCCTATCAGGACAGCTATAGTCACCCATGGCTTTCATATAGATTACTGTTTGTGGTAACAAACCTAGAAATCCTGCTGTAGTTTTTTTCCAGTGTAGTGCCCTCTGGATGTGTGGGATTACAACTCCCATTACCCCCAGGCACCAAGTTCCATGTGCTCGGCTGTTTCCAACATGGTCTTATTGGGTTTTCTAATGAACTAGGTAAAGACAGACCAACGCATTAATTAGGCTAAGAGGAACCTGCGGTCCTCCCAGACGTTGCTGAACTCCCAACAGCTGTTAATGGTGAGCGACAATGCCAATAAGCGGCACAGGTGCCCATCGACGTGCCGAACAGAAGGGAGCAAAAGCTGAACCGAGTGAAGCTCTTTAAAACGACGGATTATCCTCCAAACCAGATTTTAAAACGTTGCCTCCCTCCCAGGACCGCTGTAGCTCCACGTGGCCTTTACCGTAAGTCCAGAAGAGAGTAACCACCCCCTTTGGAACGCTAAAGCTACCCCGGGAGGTCACATGACAGACACCCTCCCCTTCCTCTCCGCCCCTCCCCTCCAGAAGCAACGCCTTTCCAGCGCACGCTTTGAGCGTCTCCCTGAACTACGCCTCCCCCGCTCCTCTTCGTGACCTCAAATACTAATCGACCGCCGGTACGCATGCGCGCTTACACCTTGGCTGTCGCCGGCTTTGTGCGCGCAGGCGCAGTCAGGCTTATTTCCCCCCCCACTTCTTCTTTCCACGCCCCGCCTCTCAGCGAGCGGAAGCGTCATCCGACGTGAGGGGCGTCTTCTGCGGCGCTTGTTCCGGTCGCGAGGGGCTTCCTGGTCGCAGCAGGCAGCGCTAGTGAGCAGCGTGGGTGAGCGAGGGACGGAGGGAGGGAGGGATGGAGGGGAAGTAGGTCGTCTTGGCTACCTGGGCCTCCCCACCGTCTCCCAAGTCTTAGGCCGGGCGTAGAGACTCCGGGGCCGGCTCTAAATCTCTCTTCCGCCCACCCGGTGCCCTCAGCCCCGTGGTTTTTTTCTCTAGTGGGCGCCGTCCAGGCAGAATTTCACCCTGTTGGCCGGTTGCCAGAGAAGACCAAACGCCAAAGTTTGGGAGCTTTTGAGGGTGGTTAAAAACAACAACAACAACCGCCAAACACGTTGTTTTCGGTAGGGTCGCTTATTGTTTATGTTTGAAAGCATTCAGGCTTTCCAATCTGTTCCCTGTCAGACGGTTGAAAGCTCTATTATTAGAGCTATGCTACCCATTAGGTCACGATGTCAATATGTGTGTCTGGGTGTATGCCTTTTCACCTGCTGGTATAAAGTTTTCGGGTTCTTGCTCCTCAACCAGAAAAGCTGCCAGGGAATGTTACCAATTGGTGGAAACAAGATCCTGTTTTACACAATAATAATAATGATGTCCTGTCAAGTTGCTTCCGACGTATGGCAACCTTTTCCAGGGTTTGCTAGATACAGAGTACAGTACCAGAAGAGGTTTGCGGTTCCCTTCTTTTGGTGGGCTCTATGGGACTGTGCAGCTCGCCTAAGAGATTGCACATCTGTTCTGCCCAGAGAAACAGCTTTTTGCTCTTGTGCAGAAAGACACTACTTGAAGTGTTCAGATTCTTGAGAATAAAAAGTGCAAACCTAGTTGTCCAGTTTGAAGGCATAGAAGGAATCCTTCCCAACAGCAGTGAAGTTGGTAACCAGTCTTGTCAGTCTTGGGAAAGGAAATCATATAAGTGGAAAGGAGCACAGAGTAGTTGATGATACAGCAGTGTATATGTAATCAAGCACAGTCCAGGAATATTGTATCTTCCTAATGTTATGGAACGACATCATACTTTTTAAAAGATGTTTCTTCATTAGCTACATGAACTGTGCAAATGTTAGATATATGTTTCTTATGCATGTACTGATATTAGATAAAATAATGAGTTTGTAAGACAAAATAATATATGTTATATGAATTTTGTTTTTCAATGTTTTGTATTTTGTGTACAAGATACTAGTAATCCTTGTGGCAGTAAGGTAGGCCAATATTGTTCCTAAATCTTAGTCACAGTGAAAGACTCCTAAAGATGAGTGTGTGGCTTAGGTTAGTCATAAGTAAGAGCATTGGGTACCTCACATTTCAAAATGTGTAATACTGTATAATGCATTATAGTGTTTCTTCTTTAATTTGCATAGTTTATGAAGTGGAAGCTTGGAAAAATGAATACAATAACACACTTGCTATTCCTAGCTAACATGTTGTCATAGAGCTCTTAGTTGTTTTCATTAAAGTACTGTATGCCAATTAGTTCCAAACCAGATGTTCTAAGATTACAAGTCACAGAAGCACTGGCCACTACAGCCAATGGACAAGATTTCTGGGAGCAATCTGAAAAATACCAGGGATCACAATTTTGACTCGGTATACTGAACTGGAACTTGGAATTACCTAGTTCTTTATCTGGGCCAAGGGCTGGACTTGGGCATGCAAGAGAGTGCTTGTCAAGCACATCAAAGTTTTACAGGAAGCTCTGGAAAATATGCTTGCCATTCTGCATCTGTGAGCCATAAGTCTGGATTTCAGTGGGTTCATTTATCGGTTACTAAGAAAGTTATTAATGTGTCAGGTAGTGGCAGTGTGTCTTTGAGGGACAGTTACTGAAGGGGTCTTGTAGGCATATTCTACTTGCACTTCAGAACTGATGACTTGTTGATTTGTCACATCCAAATCCTTGCCTCCATTTAACATTGGTCTCCACATTTATTTATTGCTATTTGTGAATTGCTTGGGTTCAAAATTTCTTGGGAATATACAAACAAAATCACTGGTCTGGGAAGGCTTGTTGGGATAGCTAAGTTCTCAGTAGGTGTCCCAAACCCAAGGAGCACAGCAGTTGTTTCATTTTTTATGTAGGGAGTTCAAGAGATTCAGTTCAATTTAGTATCAAGTTACAAGGGATTGTCTTTCTTGTCTTGCAGCTTCTGCTCAAGAAGCATGTGAACAACACAAAAACACAGGTAGCTAAAAGTCAGGTGACTCTGTTTGCATGAGTATGTGCCTTAGGAAGCTACTTTTTCAAACTTCAACTGGCAGTGTGTACCATCCTTAGATGGCTGTTAGCAGGCCAGAAATACAGCATAATTCTTATGTAATCTGTTATTTTATCTCCATATCACTTGAAGTTGTACTTTATACAGTCATGGAGTGTTGGAACAATGATTTAGGCTGGCTGGATAGCTCAGTGAGTTTAGTTGGAAGTTTGATTCTCCACTGTGTCTCCCGGGAGACCTTCCCCTGTAGCCTTGGGTAAACTGCACAGTCCCAGGGTATCCCCCGAAGAAGGGAATGGTAAACCACTTCTGAGTACAATACTCTGTATCTACAAAATCCTAGAAAGGGTTGTTATAAGTCAGAATTGACTTCATGCCACATAATTGTTATAGTGGTTACTGGATTTGGATAATAAGTTTCAAACTAATTTGACCTAATTTGGAGGAATTTGTATGAATTCCAGATTAAAATGAGATGGTTAGTTCATGTTTGAGGCAAGGGAAAGTGAATTTGCAGATTGATTTGAGTCCAGGATGCAAACTGAATGGAACAGGACACAAATTCCTTTTGTCTTTTTCATTTTGTTTTTAAATAAGACCACAGATGTTAAATTTGGTTAGTTTGCAAGCTCCTGAAGCTGACTGAAATTTAGCATGTTTAGACTTCTCTTTAGGGTCTAATGTCTCTTCAGATTTCAGATACATCAGTGCAAAATCAAAGCTGTAGTCTCTTGATTTTCTAATGCAAGTCAGTGAGACAAATTAACTCAGATCACAAATGGAATCAAACGAGGGACAGATCAGCCCAGATGGAATTGAGATACATTTTCAACTCCCAGATTAGTCTCCAGAATGTATTGTGGGACATAGCTGATCTGGGTACAGTCTTAACTATGACACTTATACTTTTATATCACCTAAATGCCAAAGGTTTCATATGAAAATGGCAGTGAGTGAAAATGTTATCCTGTCTGATAGTGTCCCGCTTGGTCATATTGGAACTATCCCCTGGGCCAGTCAGAGGCAAAGTAACTATTTACTTGACTTCAAGCATTCAGAAAAACATTTGTTGACATTTTTTTTAAAAAGGAGAGATACAGTGGTGCCTCGACTTACGAACGTCCTGACTTGTGACCAATTTGAGTTACGACCAGCTCTGGCCACAAATTTTGCTTTGACTTGCGACCGGAGCTTTGAATTGCAACTGGAAAAAAGGCGGGGAAATTTGAACTGCTAACTGTTGGTCGGCGAAGAGGCTGCTGCTTTGTAGCTCTTTCACCCCAGCGGTTAGAGAGTGTGTGTTTGGAGGAAGTTTTGGAGTGCCTGGTACAGTACTGCTTTTTGCTTTTTAAAAACTGCCTATTCTGGGTGGGTTTTGCAGCGTGGGTTTGGGCTGGGTGGTGGGGTTATGTTTCTATGCTGTCCGATGGGTCTTGCAGTGTGTTTTTTAGTGTGTTTTTAGTGGAGGTGGTTTTGGCTGGAGTGGATTAATCGCATTTCTGATGGGTCTTGCAGTGTGTTTTTTAGACCCTGCTGGACTGGGTTTGTTTGATTCTGGGTGGTGGTCTTGCAGTGTGTTTTTTAGTCCCTGCTGGACTGGGTTTGTTTGATTCTCGGTGGTGGTGGTTGTGTTTCTCTGCTTTGATGGCTCTTGCAATGTGTGACCAGATGATATATTAATTTTAGCTATAATACAGTAATTTGTTCTGAGAAAATAAATAAATAAATAAATAAATAAATAATGCACACACAGAAAAGAACTGCTGGATAGCTCAGTGGTTTAGGTATCTAGCTGTGGAGCCAGAGGTTGGGCGTTCAGTTCTCTACCATGCCTTCTTGACAGGGCCAGGACTCAATGATCCGTAAGGTCCCTTCCAGCTCTGCAGTTCTAAGATTACAGCCAACCCTTGACTTATGAACAGCCCCACATACGAACTTTTCAATTTACGAATGGCTCCGTTCACAAAAATTGGCATCGATTTGCAAATGGAGCCTTGACCTACGAACAAGGTTGATGCTCCGTTCGCAAGTCAATGCCATCTTTTGCGAACAGAGCAGTTAATTGCCTTTGGAGGTCTCAAAGGGCTTTCCACCCAACATCAGAGGAAGCCCTTTGAGAGCTCCGAAGGTGCCAATCGCCTTTCTCTCCCACCCCGTGTCTTCTCCCAAAGGGCTGCTCCGGATGGCATTGCGGATCACCTTTCTCCCCCCCCAC